ACAGAACTAATAAATAAGAATATCCTGAAACAACGAGTACTGGCCAGGAGTATTATCTCCAGTTAAACAAAGACTTAAATTGTAACAATAGCCTTCGAAACTTAGTGCCATAGCACCAAATGTAATTGTTCAAGTTGTGAAGGGAAAACATTACAAAATGAAGAAAATCAGGCTTTCAAGGTAAATGTATTGTTACAATAGAATGTTACAAATGCCTGGCAAATATGCTAGAAATTGAGCTATTGCTCATGTAACAATTCTGGGTGGGTGGCAACTCTCTGCTCAGTCCTTCTGGGACTCAGCCTCAGTCTACAACCTGTGAGTCTCAAGGTCGCCCTGGGTTCATCTTTATTTCAGCCATTCAGAGGGAGAAGAGAGTATCAAGGAGGGTTTGAGGTTTTGAGGAGCCAAGCTCAGAAGTGGCACACAGCATTTCAGCCTGCATTCAGTCACCACAGCTGGGTCATGTGGGCACATCACACTGTGGGGGAGCCTGGGAAAGGCATCCAGCAGCAAGCTGGAAGGGGAGGAGAACAGGGATGTGGGTGATCATCTCTCTGGCATCTCTGCTGGGGTAGGAATGCACCTTCCTCCAGGAAGCACTTTTGCTTCCCTTCCCGTAAAACCTGTCATCAATTTCCGTGTACTAGAGAATCACGTGACCTCATTTAACCTTTCCAGCCAGGTGGATGGTCTTCAAAGAGAGGATAGATTCATTCTCCCAGCTTTCCAGCCCTGACCCAGGTCCTGGTGGAGAGTAGGAACTTGTTATGTGTTGGTGAAATGATGGAATGTAAAATGGGCATTTCAGGTCGTTGTCCTCAAGCTCCTGAGATATACGAGGTCTGACAATTACATTCACGAACTTGCCACCATGCACTGACACTGGCAGCACCGTACAAACAGCTCGGGAAGGTTTCATAACCTTGGTGTATCTGTGTCTCACAGCTCTGTTCGTGTTGACGTGTGGCGGTGTCTTGCTGAGTGACGCTCATTATTGTTCTTGCATGTTTTTGTGTGCTGTCACGAGAATGTCTGAGCTTGACTTTAGAACAACAAACAAACATTAAATTTCTTGTTAAATTTGGCAAGAGTGAAAGTGAAATCAGGGACATGTTAGTCCAAGTTTATGAGGATAATGCCATAAAGAAAACAGCAGTGTACAAACAGATTAAACATTTTTCTGAGGGGAGAGAATGCGTCACTGATGAAGAGAGGTCAGGGTAGCCAGTAAAGAGCAAAACTGATGGAAACATTGCAAAAATTCGTCGAACTGTGCGTCAAAATCGTCAGCTGACTGTGAAAAGCATAGCAGTCCAAGTAAACATCGATAGAGAAACAGATAGGAAAACCTTAACTGAAAATCTTGGCATGCGGAAGGAGCTCACTGATGAACAAAAGCAAAGGAGAGTCGAAGTTTGCCAAAACCTTTTGGAGAGACAAGGTTGTAGGCCGTATTATCACTGGTGATGAAACATAGGTGTACCAATAGGACCCTGAAACAAAGCGTCGAAGTGCACAATGGAAGTCAGCCAATTCTCCACGACCAAAAAAGTTCCGTCAGTCCGAATCAAGAGTCAAAACGATGTTGCTAACCTTTTTTTGATATCAATGGGATTATTCATCATGAATTTGTACCAACCGGACAAACAGTTCACCAAGTTTATACTATTTGGAAGTGCTAAAAAGGCTGAGTGAAAAAAATCAAACGAAAACAACCTGAACTCTTCTCCAACAATTAATGGCTCTTGTATCACGACAATGCACCAGCTCCCACAGCACTGTCTGTGAGGGAGTTTTTAGCCAGTAAACAAATAACTGTATTGGAACACCCTCCCTGTTCACCTGATCTGGCCCCCAATGATGTCTTTCTTTACCCAAAGATAAAGGAAATATTTGATGACATTCAGGACATCAAGGGTAATACGATGATAACTCTGATGGTCACTCCAGAAAAAGAGTTCCATAATTGCTTTGAAGGGTGGACTAGGCACTGGTGTTGGTACATAGCTTCCAAGGGGAGTACTTCGAAGGTGACCGTAGTGATATTCAGCAATGAGATATGTAGCACTTTTTCTAGGATGAGTTTGCGAATTTAATTGTCAGATCTTGTTTGGGAAGCCCTCACCTGAGTATGACCTGCATCCAGTCCTGTGCAGGGCAGGGCTCAGGCTGCCTTGGGTTAAGCGAGGGCAAGTCGACACCTCAAGGAAAGGCTTTCAAGACGTGGACAAATTAATCCCTCCCTAGCCCAAACACTCACACGCATTATATGTCACAATAACAGCTACTATTAATCAAGTTGGTCACCGAGAGAAGGGATTTACATGCCTGATCTCATCTATCCTCCCAGCAGCGCTGTGAGGCAGGCACCACGATTAGCACCATTCACTGGGGGAGAAACCAAGGCTTAAAGTGATCACAGCTGGTGAGAGATGACGCTAGAGTTTGGGTATGAATACGCTACACCTCAGAGCCTGTGCCCCTGACCTCTGTCACATCCAGGAGAAAGCAGGGTAGGCTGGATGGCAGCCAGATCTCGGGGCAGAGCCCTGGGCGGGCAGGCAGGAGCCCTGGATTTGCACCCCTGCTCTGCTCTGTGTCCCCTCATTTACTCAGCACACAGCTCCCTAGGGTGGCACTGCGCCAGGCACTGAGGCTATGGAGAAAAAAAAAAGCCAGGAGAGCCAGTGTCCTCGATTTGATACAGTGTGATGAGGGTCCTTAAGTATTTCTTCCTTTGTGGCTCTATTTTATTCTGTGCACTTCAGGGAAGTGGTTGGGAAGGCAAGGGTTGCAAACACAAATTCTGACAAGGCAAGCAGGAAACGCAGATGGCCTGGGTTCCTGGCTCCGCCTCTCACAAGTTCTCTGGAAGCCTTGAACTCCTCATCTGATGAGTTGAAATAACACACATAATACCAAGCTCATAGGAGAACGCATAGGCACATGTAGCTCATAGGCTAACCCATATACAGGAGATGACACAGGCATATGTGCTGCTCCGAGGCAAGCAACAGAAGTGGGGGCTGAGCACTGAGGGAGCACACACCCTATTTAAATGCCGCCGTGCTCAGGTAACAATTCAGTGTTGCCAGATCCCCCAATTATTCAAGAATGGCCAGAAACCACAATTTTAATGTTTAAAACATGTTCCAATATCTCCTAATTTTAAAACTTTGCATGAGCTCAAGAATACATGGAAGGGCCAGATTTTTGTCCCTGGCCCTGTGGACTCTATCATAACTCAGGTCTCTGCTGATTCTGATCTTCTAGGATCTTTGACTAGGAAAGAGGACAAGGGAAGGGTGTCCCCAGCTCAAATGTATCCAAAAGGATTAGGATCAGGTGTGCGCAACACAAGAAAGAAGTGTCTCTGTCATGTAACAGAAGTTGAAAGGAGAGCAATGCATGGCTAATATGGCAACTCCATGAAGATGGCTCCTTCCATCTCTCCACTCTGTCCTCCCTAGCATATGGCCCTTGTCCTTATTGTCCAGAATAGCTGCTGGAGTACTGGCCATCATATCAGCAATCCAGACAGCAGAATGGAAAAAGTCAGCTCTCTTTTTTTTTTTTTAGCTGAGCCATCCTGCCCAGCTCGGGCTGGGACTCGAACCGCTGTTGCTCAGAGCTCAAACTCTTGAGTGAGCTCTTAACCAACTGAGCCACTCGGCCAGCCCAGCTTCCTTCTTTTAAAGCTACTTCCCAATTTCCTCACAACAAATTCCACTTATATAGTCACATGGCCACACAGAATTGCAAGGGAGACGGGGAAGTACCTTGAGGCTGGAATGCAAGGTAGCTAGCTACAAAGGGGATCCTGTTACCAAAAAAGAAGACAGTAAATATTGGAAGGCAACTAGCCATGTCTTCCACATCAAACAGCCTGGCTTGTGAGGAGAGTGTGGGGGTCAGTGAAGGGGCGTTGCCAGGCAGCCAGACTCTGCCTTCCGCTTTGCCTCTCCTGCCTCCTAAGAGCGAGGTATGCAAATTAAGTTCACGAACTCATCCTAGAAAAAGTGCTACATGCCTCACTGCTGAATATCACTATGGTCACCTTCGAAGTACTCCCCTTGGGAAGCTATGCACAAATGCCAGCACCTAGTCCACCCTTCAAAATAATTTTGGAACTCTTTTCCTGGAATGGCCCTCAGAGCTATCATCATATTACCCTTGATGTCCTGAATGTCATCACATGTTATCCTTTCAATATTTCCTTTATCTTCGGGTAAAGAAAGAAGTCATTGGGGACCAGATCAGGTGAGTAGGGAGGGTGTTTCAATACACTTATTTGTTTATTGGCTAAAACCTCCCTCACAGACAGTGCCGTGGGAGCCAGAGTCTTGTTGTGATGCAAGAGCCATGAATTGTTGGCGAAAAGTTCAGGTAATCTAACTTTTTTCACGCAGCCTTTTCAGCACTTCCAAATAGTAAACTCGGTGAAGTGTTCGTCCAGTTGGTACGAATTCATGATGAATAATTCCTCTGATACCAAAAAATGCTGGCAGCATCATTGCAACCAGTTTGTGTACTTAATTGTCTGACTTCATGTGTCTTTGAGCCTTTTTCTGACCAAGAAAGGAAAATAAGAGAACAAGACAGAAAGCGGTCATCTAGATATAATAATGACAGCAACAACTTACCAAGAACTGGCTATGTTCCAGGCCCTGTGCTGAGCCTTGGGTGAACGTTATCTCAGATTTTTTATCTTCATCCGGCCTCTCGCATCCGTGAGCCTTCTGCTGTGGTGGGGAGAGGTCATGGGCTGTCTGTGTCAGCTGAGGTAGGAGACGTACAAGCCCAATTGTCCCCCAGACAGATAAGCAAGCAACCCTTCCGTTTTCAGCCCTGCCCTGGCCCTCAGTCTCTGGAGGTTCCTGGTCCTTGCAATCCCTTGAGTCTTTCTAAGGACCTTAAATTGTCTTATGTCCTGACGTCTCATCAATCCCCACTCACCATTGCTTTACAGCTTCCAGAATTTGGTTGACTCCTCTTACCTGCTGCTATTTCCTCGTATGTTCTCTTTGTTCCCGTAGATAGGTATGCCTTTAAAAAAAAATGCCTTTATGTCATTTTATCGGAATTTCAAAGAACAGTAGAAGTAAATAGGTGCGTTCAGCTGGCCATGTTTAACCAGCAGCTCCTGCCTGCGTTCTTGACTGGGGGAGCCCTCAGCGGTCATGTGGATTGTATGGCATTAGCATCCCGCCCGCCCCCCTCCTTCCACCCAGCTCAGGAGCCCCTGGGACCCTCAGCACACGAGGCTGATTCTCCCTCTCGGAGCCCAGGCACGTTTCTCTCCTGCATCCATACCCCAGACTTTTTTCTTTCTTTTTTTAAAAAAGATTTTTATTGGGGAATTGGGGGGATGGGAACAGTGCTGGGGAATTGGGGGAAGGGGAACAGACAAGTTGCTGTCGTCTTGTTCTTCAGTCTAGTTGTGGAGGACATTGCTTCACTGGCCCAAGTTGGCACCATCATTGCGCTCTTCCCGGGCGAGGCAGATCAGTCGCTGACGTCTGGACGGCGTCTCATGGCAGCTGCTGCCTGCTCCTGCTGGCTGCTGGCTACACACCATAGCCCATAGCAACCCACTGCAGCAGGGGACTGCAGCCTACGCCGTCGCTGGCGACTCACGGCAGCCCAGCTCCAGGTTGAGCTGTTGTTCAGCATCTTAGCTGTAGAGGGCAGTGTCACTGGCCCTCATATGTGGGATCCGAACCGGGGCCCTCTGGCATCCCAAGCGAGCTCTTAACCACCGCGCCACCCGGCCGGCCCCGTGGCCCCGGCCTTGCTTCTCAGAGGCATTCTTCCTTCGCACCCAGACAGGGCTGAACAGGCCTGTGGATATGAGTCCCTGGTGCAGCTCATTCCTGAGAAGTCAGGTGTGGGCTTGACTGAGATAAAATTCAAAGTTGAGGATAAAAGCCAGTCATTTCTAAGTTGCAATTTCAGAGTAACCCCGCTCCACACCCTCCCAGGAATATCCCCACTGTGTTTACAGTGGAGTCCAAAGTCAACATTCAACGGGAAAGCCTGAAAGGGTCGCATTTGTCCTTGAAACCCCTTAGGCAGGCGTTGGATGGAACAGACACACTGCCACTCGGTGAATCCAACACACCAGCACTTCCTCCAGGGTTCCTCTCCCCCCCGCCCCCCGTCATGGTTAAGTGCCCTTGGTTTGCCCTGAGAAGCCATGTTGTGTGAACAATATGCATTTTCAGAGCCTAGAATCCCCCTAAGTGGGCTGTGATGCTCACGATGTTCATAAGGGGAGAGGCCCATGGTCCCCAAGATCGAGGGCGACCAGCCCTCCCGGTGGAGTGGCACTGAAGAGTTCCCAGGGTCGCAGGGCTTTCCATGCAAAACCCAGGACGGTCCCAGGGCAAACCAGGACGGTTGGTCACCCTCTGAGGCCATCTGTCACAGCAAGTTCACTCCTCAAACACCCTCCTGGGCATGTCCTTGAGGTACAAGCAGCTTGAAATGGTAATTCCGTGCTGTTTACTACACCACCTACCTACCCCTACCTCACCTAGCAAGGCAGTTGGTGGAGCGGTTGACAGGTGGGCTCTGGAACCCCACCTCCAACACTCACCAGCTGAGAAGCAAGTCACTCCACCTCTCTCAGCCTCAGTTTTCTCATCTATAAAATGGAAATAATAACAAGTTCTACCCTCTAGGGTTATTGCAAGGATTGCATTAACAGATGTAAAGCACTTAGAATATATACAGGCTACAGTCCCTTCTCTAAAACCCCGTTGACTCAAGGCCTTCATGAGTTTTGGGATTTTGAGGGTTTGGGGGGCGGTTTAGAAAGCACATGCCACATGTTATATAACACAGCGGTGGGGTCTGGGTGGGCCTGCCATAATCACACATGTCAATGCTTCTGCAGAGAATAACATGTGAGTACTCACACATCTGTTCAGATTAGGTTTGGACCACCAAATGAGTTTCAGCGCTAAACTTAAATTAGTTTGTTCAGAATGTTTTGGCCCTCAGAAGTGCGGGGCAGGATTGCAGACCTGTATTAGGGTCTGCTATTACTATCGTTCATGCCCATCTGGTGTCACTGCCATGTAATCACTTCTTGAGGACAACTTTTGTGCCCAAGGCCCCTGTGAGTTTGTGGGGTTTTCTAGCAGGGTCTTCCTTTCTGCACCAATAGCTCTGAACAACCTTGGAAGGCTGGGGGGATGCTCTCTTTTCTTTTTCTTTTCTTTTCTTTCTTTCTTTGTTTTTGTTTTTTGTTGTTTTTTTTGGGGGGGGGAGGGAGGGGTTGCAAAGTCTTTCCTGGCAATGTTAATTTTTTACATGATAATTTCACACCAGTGGCTAATTCACAATTATTTCAATACTTGCATGCTCATCTGCCTCTAGATTTAGTCATAAAGTATGAAGCTAAGCTAATAAAATTAAGACACAGCAACAGTTCATCTTATTCTTCTTTACATTCCTTCATGATCAGCAAGATGCATAAAAGAGTTCTTTAAAGGGCTAAAATAGATTGATATATAAATTGTGGGTTTGTTTTTAAAGTTGTATAAAAGCAACATTTCTAAGAAAACATTTAAACCAAAGGTCGCACTTTATAAAAACAAAATTCTTAATTCAGGCTGTCTCTATTTTTAGCCATTTGGCATTTTGCTCCTTTGTAAAGTTTATATTGCCCAACCAAGAGTGGTTATCTTTTACTGTTTTTGGAAATGACTGAACAGATAAAGACATCAGATGCCTTACACAGAGGGGATTTTGCCTAAGATCAATATGTTTTAAGATAGTCTTTTATTACACATTTATCAAATATTGAGGAGTACTTTAAGAACTGAATGTGCTGGAGATATATTTGATAATCAAGATTTTAGATAAGTTTTCACCAGCATTAGCTCTGTTAGCAAACTGGAAAAAGTTGTAGGCTTAATATCAAATAATACACACATTAGAAAACATTTAGCCTTTTAGAAGAAAGACCATATTTTGCTCCTGCTTCTGTAAAAACATTATTTGCTTGAAAGAACTAGGTAGCGTGAACTTTCACTCAACTGCTACTCTCTTACTATGCAAAAGAGACAAAATGAGCTGAAGAAGGAAAATTCCAGTTATACTCCGCAGTCCTGAATATACTGAGTGATGTCTCGGTTTTGACAACGATTTCTCCCTGCTCCCCATGCTCTGATGACCTTGAGGGTCACTGACGACCCTCTTTGCACATGCTACGGCTTGAGTGATGTCATCTTGCAGCAAAACGTTATAGGATATATACGACAGGCGTTAACTGCTCTGGGGGTTTTGCCATCATTACTCCAGTCGCGGCTATTGATCTGAAATATCCCATAATCAGTGCTTTTGCTTCCAGGATTGTAGTGTGTAGCTTGCGTGTCATAACTACTTTCCCATTGGGCCAAACACACCCAGTTTGCCAGGCTGATTTCCCTTGAAGCCATCCATTCCAAGTCTTTACAGAACTCTGGCAAACTCACACCTTTCATAGACCTAGAAGCCCCAGAATAAGGAGAGGCTTCATGTTGAAAGGGAAGTCAGACCACTGGGCGGCTCTCTTTTCTCCTTTCTCGACCCAGGCCCTCCATTTAATGATCACTCCCTGTTCTCTTCAAGGTGGTGATGGTGGTGGGTGGTAGTGGGTGGGAGGGCGGAGGTTGCAAATTCAAGTCTCCAAGAGTCTTTTCCAGTCTGAGCCGGGGGAGCCAGCGGGCTCCCAGTGGGGGAGGAGAACACAGCTGTGGAGAAGTGATGAGCAAGCCAAGTTTCTAGCAAAGCTGCTGTGGGTGCCAGGCAGGGATCTGGACTAGGCAGGAGAAATGGTAGATCCAAAGAGGGGTTCACGACCCCGCAGGAGCCCCTGGACGTCCACAGACGTCTCCATGGTTGATGCTACTGCACTTGCATTCAAGTGTGCAGAGGGGAATCTGGGGGCTTCCTTAGTGGGTGTGCTTTTTCTGAGCACTCCAGGAAATGCATGGTGGACAGGTGCTCAAGGAGTTAAGGAGTTTTCTAGTGGCCATGAGAGGGGGAGGAAAAGCTGTCCAGCACAGCCACAGCGAGGGCTTACCAGGGAGCCTGCCTCCACACCTCAGGGCTCCCTCCCAGCCCGCCCCACAGGGATATTCCTGGTGCACTGACTTGGGATGGATGGTTTGGCAAGTTCGTTTCTTTCAGGGCTTGATTGTCTGGGAGGGAAAATTGGTTCCTGTTTTCCTCGTCAATGGAGCTTTGCAATTAGGACATGGGCCCTTTCCCAAGACAGAGAGGGATGGGGAGGGAGGATTGGGGCCAGGCGTCTCCACCCGATGCAGGTCTGTCCCTTGAGGAGGGAGCCTTGTGCTGCCTGTGGGGCATTTCTAAGTCTTATGCAAACTGTGGCATCAGAGAGAAGTCATGGCTTCCTCCCTCCTCTTTTTAGCCCCTCCACCATCAGGGTGTCCCTTTCCTGTTTTGGCACTTAGCTCCCCCTTCACCCCAAAAGGGCCCTAGGCTTGGACATCTTCCTCTTTTCACTTCCTAATCCAACCTCCCCTCTGCTTCTATGTAAGAAAGTTCTTGAGAAAGAACCCTGGCACAGGATTTAGGAAACTCCAGTCCAAGTTTTAGCTCTGCGCCCCCACACACTGTGACCTTGAGCTGGTCCCTTGTCCTCTCTGTGCCTCAATTTCCCCATACATTTGAGAGAGAGATTGAATCTGATAAGGAGCTGCAAAATCCAATAACTCTAGGAGTCAGGCAGATTGAAGTTGGAGAGCAGGTGAACTAGAAAACGCCAGCCAGGCTGAAGGGGGAAAGCCGTTAAAAATTCTAGCTCCTTGTTGCCACGTGGAAAAGTTAGCCCAGTGTTACCAGGTTTCTGAATTTCCAAGAGAAGCTGTATTAGCCAGGATAGGCTGCGTTAACAAATAACCCAGAAACTCAGGCCCTTAAGACCCTAAAGGTTTACCGCCTATTCCTGCCATAGTCCAATGTGGCCCAGCACGGGGCTCCACACAGCCAAGGAAATGTGGTCACGTGGTCCCAGCTAACTGCAAGAGACG